TGACATTATATTGAGCTATGGTAAATGCTATATACCATCCAAAGAGGAACTCTGTGGTTCCTTGTATGGTAAGTTTTATTAATAAATATAGCAACTGTCATTTTTATTTACTAATTATTTTTTAAAGTAAATTGCATACCTTTTTTATTTCAGATAAAAACATCTACGACTTCGTTTCAGTGAAAAGTAAGACTTTGTTCACCCGGCTGCAAACTAATCACAGTTTTTTGGACGAAAAACCTTCTTTATGGTCAAATAACGTTTCGTTTCAGGCCAAAAAGAAGGTTTCAATGCTCAGGACCAGCAACGATACTGCTGAAAGAGCAGTCAAAATGATGCAAGAGTTCTATGGCCTAATAACAGTCGAGGAGAAAAAAAGACAATTTTTATTACGCTGCGTACAAGAACACCGAAAGATTTATCTTGATTGCAAAAAACAAACTTTAAAAAGAAAATTTGCAGAATAATGTTTTTTATCTATAAAATATTAATATTATTATATATTAATAGTATAAATTTCGGGTATATTAGTGTTTTATTCAATCAACTTCTCGAAATTCTCTATGCAAACCTGATACAAAAATTAATATTTTGTGTTTGGGATCAAGTCGGCACCGTTACCGTTCAGGGCTACCGTTGTCTAATCGCTTTTATATTTTATATTCGAATATTTAGGGTCAAATAGAAAAATATTAGGGGGTATGCGTATAAAATGTTTTTTTAGCCTATGCCTTGAGATACCCTAATGCTCATTTTACCCAGTATTTTTTATTAAAATTACCTAATTTAAGGTGGTAGTACAGTAATTTGGAAAAAAATTTGATTTTCTACTTTTACAAATGTTTTTTTTTTCTCACATTGTATAAAATACTATTAGAAAGCTAAAAAAATTAAATTTTTTAGCAATCGTTTATAATTTATGATTGAAATTTTTGTGATGTATTACTTATGTCGTTGGGTCGAGGACAAAACGGTTTAAGTTAGGTCTAAACTTTGAGAAAGTATTAGCATTTTTGTAAATTTGGGCAAAAATGGGGTAGTTAAGGATACAAAATCTTAAAAAAGTACTAAATGAGAAAAGCAGTAAAAATTACTACTGTAGTGTATGTTGTAAATACTATTGCAATAAATAAGTGGGCCAAATTTCAAATGTGCAGCCGTAGCGCAGTGGTTAGAGCGCTTGCTTTATAAGCAGGAGATCCAGGTTCGAAATGAGTTGTGGACATATTCCGCGTCATGGTAAAGAAGAAGCGTGAACTTCCTGGTCAAATGCAAAATGAAATATATTCCTGGTTAAATTGGATTTAACCAGGAATATATTTAGCTACTAACACGCAACCTTTTTTTTGCTCTAATTTTCTCAATGTTTATAGTTCGTATAAAATAAATATAATTGCGAAAAATTTAAAAACTTTTATAAATACCAATATTTAAGTCATGTTGCTAGGTTAAAAAAAATTACTTTTTTGTTTTAAATGATTTCTTACGTTCTTATTTTTATTGTGACTTTTTTGAAAAAACGCACTTTTTTATGAATTATATTTATACCGCCCGAGGGGTACCCAGCGGGCATTTGTTTTTAAAAGTAACGTTTTAAATGTATTTGAATGTCTTTTAAACGTCTTCTAAACATTCTTACGTAAATAACGTTTAAAAGACGTTTAAAACACGTTTAAAAGACATTTAGAACGTAACTTTTAAAAACAAATGCCCGTAGGGTAAAAACATTTTTTATTTTATTTTCCTATACTACAAATGATACATGACACTCTTAAAAAAAATCATTTCAAATTATTAAGTTTTTTAGTTTTTATAACAATTTTAAAGTCGAGTACTTTTGATATATTTGGCGATGGTTAACAACAATTTTTTGAGTATTATTAGAATCGCTTTAATTTATTTCCATAGAAACGAATTAATCAGTTATACAAAAAAATATAATATATATAAGATTATGGTGCAAAGACAAAAATAATATTTATGAATTTATATAAAAATAACATTTATATTAAAATATTAATTTACTTAAAATTAAAATCTTAGTTAATTAATATCCCAGCTAGCACACATACGTTGTTAAAACATTAGAACAATGTCCCGCGTTTCGTTGGCCCAACATCGGCAGGCAACGTTGTTTTTATATCATTATGATTACAAATGCGACGTCGCCAACAACTAAAAACCGATGTTAATAAAACATTTATTTAAAGTCGGAAAATGGTTATATTTTCTACGTTGATTCAACGTTTTATTACGTTGGCCCAACGTTAGGCAAAACGTTGTATTTACGTTGATTCAGCATTGTACTTTTACGTTGGCAAAACGTTGTAGTCAAGATTATTCGGAACTAAATTTTCATAAAGCTCTATTTTCATTATATATATATATATATATATATATATATATATATATATATATATATATATCATGGCCTACTTAAATTACACGGCCTGATTTGTTGCATTTTCCGTAAAAAATTAAGAGGCCAGTTTTTTTACGGCTCAAGTATAAATAATTTTTGTTAAGGTTAAGAGTCTTGTTTGCACTATAACTGTTTATTTTTATTTTATTAAAATAGTTTAATGATAGTTAGATTTTTTTTGAGCACTTACATTATTTTGTGCTGGATTTTCTGTTAACTGATTGCCTGCTTCAGTTTATTCCAATAACACAGAATACTGAAGTAGGCTTTCAGATAACTATATCAACGCATACCAACATGCTGCTAAAAATAATCTTTCATGTTGCTAAGATTGTCTACAACTCTCCATTGAACAAAAAAAAAGGTTTGTAGTTTTGTATTTTTTATAATTGAAATTAAAAGAATTAATTTTTGCTAGAAATGTTTATTTTGTCTTTTATGGAATTCTTTTACTTGATCTTTTCTCAATGAATATGTAATTTTTTATTATAAAAAATATTATTAACAATACGAGATTTATATTTGATTCCCCATTGTTGGTGGTTTTTATTTGTAAAATTGAAACTGCTTGATCAAATTTTTAATTGAAAAAGATTGACTGCAATGTTTTATTAGAATAAGAGAAATAACATAAAATACTAGAATGATGATAAATAAAATTAGACAGAGGTTGAATTGAGTATATAGGTTCTTTTCTTTATAAAGTAAGGTTTATTGATCATAAGTTTAACATCAAAATCTTTTTGTTAATTTTTACCATTATTACTTGCTTTAGTATATATATATATATATATATATATATATATATATATATATATATATATATATATATATATATATATATATATATATATATATATATATATATATATATATATATATATATATATATATATATATATATATATATATATATTATATATATATATGTTGACAACTTGTTTGTTGTTTCCAAAATTTGTGACTTGATAATTAATTTTGCTTTTTCTTGCCTGTTTAATAATTAAAAAAAGAAAAACCGAGAATAAAAAGTATGTTTTAAACACTTCTTTTCTAAACTAAATGATAAATTAATAATTTTCCATCTCCAATGTATGGTTTGTGAAACTACAAAAATGCATTAACATTTGTAGAATGGTTATCGGTAACAACAGCTCTTATCTTAAATTTAGATTTGTGCATTGAGGTAATACACTCATCAATTTCTTTTTTCAAACATAAACCTGTTATGTAAACTTTAGATGAGGATTGTAAAACATAAGAATAAATTTTTGAAGCCCTACAATCATAAAAACAAAAACAACTTTTTTAAAAAGATTATTTTCTTAATCTTCATCAAATTGTTTACCACTTTGATAATGGGCTGCTTTTCAGAAGTACATCTTCCCACAAGCAGGAAATAATCTCTTAATACCAAATTTTTTTCAATGATTTTTCAAATATATTATAGTTTTTCAATTTGTAATTTTCACCACTGCGAAACCATTTAAATAAAGAAATATGATAAGCATTAATTTGGCAATGAAAAAAATTAGAATTTTATTAACAGCTATTGACTCCATAACAGTTGTTGTGCCTGATATTTCTTGCTTACTGTAAATAAATAGCCTGATTTTATTGCATTTTAATTGCTGTATGTTTGAGACATGTAGCATAATAAAGTATTTACATTGCAAAACCTTGTTTTGCAGTGTAAATATTTTAAAGAAAAGTTTATGTTTTTAACTTAATAATTGCAATTATATTAAATACAAAATCACAAACCTTTAAAATTATTTCCAATGGAGAGTTGTAGCATAATCACAAATTTTTATCTTTGCAAATATAATCACAAATTTTTAAATCATATGATTTAGTATAGATTTAGTATAGCCAGCGATTTGAACAATTGCACTAATTTGTATTATGTTTTTTGTAACTAAACTTTTACCGGAGATAATGAACTCGGTTTTTTCTGTGTTTAATTTGATATAGAGGTTTTGTCATTGCTTTTGAACTTTATGATTCAACTCTTGTAGCCCAGAAAGAGTAGGAATTTGCAGGATTATATCATCTGCATTAGCAATAATACCAGTGTATAAGTCCACTACTGTTGTTCCAACTTTACAATCGGAAACAATTTGACTTTCAGTATAAATATTATATTGTAGTGCGCGAACTACTGATAGCGGTAAGTTTTTGCTATCGAAAGCCTTATTTGCGTCTAAACTACAGATATATACAAGCGAGTTATTATTATTATAATGTTTTAATGTCTCACTCAATAGGAACTCTGCATGCAGGGTGGAGCTATTTTGCTTGAAACCAAATTGATGAAGAGTGGCTGTCTGATATTTCTGGACATACTTGCATTATGATTAAGTCAATATTTTTAAGTTCAAAATTACCTGAATAAACATTAAATGTAAAAATAAAGAAACCAATTCTCAGTATCATAATGTCAAAGATATAAGAAAAATGGCCAGCCGAAACTGATTTCAAAAATTTTGGAAAGTGACGCGTAATTTTTATTAAAAAATTACGGAAATATATTTACGGTAAGTACGAATAAGTCCCTTAGCCCAGTCTACATGTTGTTTACTAACAAATATGGCTGCTGTTATGAGTTAGTGCGTCGGTTACTGCGCACATGTTTTGGCCATTTTAACATTTTATTTAATATATTGATAAGAACATTTTAAGCATTATTGGGTAAAGTAATTATATAAAGAGTCTTAGATAAAATTCCTGATGTATTTAAAATATCTCTTATACAAGGTACACTATTCCAATTGTATATTATTTTGATAAAAAACCTTTTTATTAAGATTGTATATCAATACTCTATTTAAGTATAAAGATGCTATATATTAGATATTATTTGTATCATGTTTTTAAATCATTTTTTTTTTGCGCCAATTTTATTTATGTAGCTGCTACATTGTTAATTAACTGCATTATACTACAGTCACCCTATAAACACCTTATTATCTATTAAACGTCGAAACAACAGTTATAGACAAAACGTTTTGTTTTGATCGGTTATCCGTTCAGAATAAAATCTTTTTTAGGTTTAACCTATAAAAAAAAAACTCCATTAGTTGTCAAGATTTAAACGTATTTTTGACGTGTATTAAAGAATTATTATAGGTAGAATAAAATATAACAAAAATATTTTCCAAAAAGTATATCTTTTTTTGTACTAAAAAGCAGAAAATAAACTTTTTAATTTTAATTTAATATTCAGTAACCTAAAAATTGGCACGTCTGCTCAAAGTTCATTTTAAAACAGACCTGTCAATCTTTATTTTGCTGAACTATTATATTTAAATTTAAAAGTTTATTTTCTGTTTTTAAGTACAAAAAAGATTATATTTTTTGGAAAATCTTTTTGCTATACTTTTTTTGTTTTCTACTTTTTAGTCATTGCAATCAGTTATGGTATGTTGCATAGTTATTGCTATTGTTATTTAGCATTTTTATTGTTATGTTGCATTGTTACTATTAAACATCATCAGGTCAGATGAAAAGAAATAAGATGAAAAGTTGTGATTAAGCTTTTTAGCAAACAAAATTGGTGCAGTATTAGTACAATATTTATCTCATTATTGTCTAAGTGTTGTTAACAATATTGCACTAATATAAAATGTCCTCAATTTGATATATATATATATATATATATATATATATATATATATATATATATATATATATATATATATATATATATATATATATATATATATATATATATATATATATATATATATATATATATATATATATATATATGTATATATATATATATATATATATATATATATATATATATATATATATATATATATATATATATATATATATATATATATATATATATAAATTGCAGTATAATGCCAATATATTTTTTATCATAATCAATAAAAAAACATGAAAATTTAAATAAGTTTCCTTAAGGAGAAATTGAACCCTTAACCTTGTTATCTGCACCTCAAAATTAGACTACTTTGAAATCCACTGCACACTTATATATCAGTCGAATAAAATATTAAATGATTCAAACATTTTTTGTGTACAAATGAGGTTTCTATTATGGAAACATTATTTGTAAGAGTTTTATTACATACATATCACTTAGCTAATATATTAATTATATAAAAAGATCAAATTTGACAATAATAAACTTGATAAAAGTTCTGGTCAAGTATAATAAAAGATTATAAAAAGCATAAAACTCCTTTAAAAAATAGAACATTGAAATTAATTTTTTTTATTTTATTAGGATTTAAACCCGCAACACTGTCATTTGAAATGTATGCTTCAAATTTTTAATGTATATGTTTATAGGTTTGTAATATACGCTTTGAATATCTTAATGTATACATTTATTAAAAGTTTTCTAAAGTTTTAGAATAATGACTTATTCAATATTCTAAACGTTTAATCAACATTAGAAGCTTCAAATATTGGTCCAAATTAACTGTTGATTTTTGGTCAATAACATCTCTGAATAATGAATATATACATAGATAGATATAGATAATCCTACAGTTAAGCAGCCTAAAATAATTTTTTTTTTTACTCAATATTAACTTATTCTAGACATCTGAATAATGCAGTCAATCAATCAATCTTTTATTTCACTTTATAATAATAATATATATATATATATATATATATATATATATATATATATATATATATATATATATATATATATATATATATATATATATATATATATATATATATATATATATATATATATATATATAGAGAGAGAGAGAGAGAGAGAGAGAGAGAGAGACATATATTAATATATATATATTAGGCTATTTATATTTTATGTTGGAAATGGCGATTTTACCTGCGCATTTTTTTTTAACATAAATTTGTATTGAAGGCCATCACAGGCGAGGAGGCTATTTAATTATAACCCTCTTAACTCTATAACTCCAAAACACAATCTTTAAAAAAAGAGTTTATGCGAGAAATGTCAAGCAGTAATTAATTGTTTTAAAAAACAGTTAAATATTTTTTTATTAGATCAAAAAACAGATAGTTAGATAAGTTTTTTTAAACTTTCCGTTTTTAAAAATTTTTTTATTTAAATTTAATTTATTATATCTAATTTAAATATATTATTAAATATTAATCAATATAAATTTATATTATTACATTCAATTTAATTTTTTTTATAATTCTAAACCCTCTGTTTTACAATGTTTTATTTACTGCTAATATATATATATATATATATATATATATATATATATATATATATATATATATATATATATATATATATATATATATTATATATATATATATATATATATATATATATATATATATATATGTATATATATTTATGTGTGTATGTGCATTTTTTATATAGTACTAGAACATGATCACTTGGTTTGTTTTTTTAATATTGATGGAAGCTACAAACTGTTCGAATATATGTGAGTTGTTTAATAAAGTATTACTTATTTTTAATTAATTACCCAATTTTTATGGTTTGATTTAATTGTTTTATATTTTTTATTAGATAAGTTCAGTTTGATTTTTTTTTTTTTCACTATCTTTATTTCCAACAAAACTGCAAGCAACCATTATTAGAGTTTGAAGTTGCTGGAAGAAAAAAAAAAGAAGTTTATAGAGCAAGATAACAATTATCAGGCAACTTAAAAGATTGCAAATTATATGAATTAGGAAAGCAAGATGAAGGGAAAAAATTCAGAAGAACAGATGTTTGAGAAAAAAACAAGGCGAATAAGAATTTTTAGAGCACTTTAGAACAGAGAATTAATTGAATGACAAGTAACATGAGAACATATTTTAGTAGATGGCACAAAATACGCTAGCTCTTTGAACCAGTTTCCATTATAGTATTTATAGAAAAGAGAAAGAAGCAACATTATGACAATATAATAATGGTTGGATGTTGGATGCAAGAGCAGGTCCAACTATGTTTACAATGCGTTTTTCTACACCTTGTCTGAAAGAGAAAGGGCATCATTGTAATATCCGCCCCAGATATGGCAACAGTTTTCCATACAAACACAAATTTGAGTTTTATAAAGAATAGAATCTGGAGTAAGAAAGTGTTGCGCATGATTAAGAGATGCAACCTCAGAAAATGGAAATTCTGCAGTTGATTTGATATAAAGATCAGAGGTAAGAGTTAATCCTAGAAGATGAGGGTTAGATGACTCATGGAATAAATAACAGATCATAAATATAAAAAGATCTAGATTATTAAGATAACAATTAACTGAAAAAATTAAGTTTTTTATGAGTTCATCAGCAACTGTGAGCCCCATGCTGTAGCAGAAGTAAGATCTTTTCAGGCTCAAATGCCACCTCCAAGCAATCAGAGAGAGTAACTTCTTATCAAGGTAAGAATAAATAATAGTATCATCAGCAAACAATGCCACCTTAGATGTGAGAATTTCTGGAAGATTCTTAATGTAAATTTAAAAAGTATAGGGGCAATGATAGAACCTTGAGAAATCCCTGAAATTACAGGGTATGTAGAAGAGTGCTATCCATCAAGAACAACTTTTATACTAGGATTGGAAAAGAAAGGTTCAATAATCTTAAAGATTTTACCTGATACACCATAAGAAGAAAGCTTATGGAGAAGACCAGCATTCCAAACTTTATTAAAAGCTTTAGAAATAGCAAGAGCGACATCCTAAAACTCTCTACATCCAATTAATGCACAATAAAACCTATCCGTTATTACTGTTGACAAATCAGCTGTAGAACGAGAATATCAAAATCCATTTTAATTATCAGAAAGTAAGTTATTAGATTCAACATAACAAATTAAGTTTTTGTTAATTAAAAATTCAAAAACTTTCCTAATGATAGTAAGAAGACTAATGGACAAGTCACATTGCTCTCCAGAGTTTTTGAAAATAGGAAAAACAGATTCGGCTTTCCAGAAGGATGGAAAGCAAGACTCTGATAAGCACTTGATAAATAGTTTTAAAAGTGTAGGTGACAGCTCCAGAGAACACTTATGCAAGACAAGGTTTGATGTCTGGACTTCTTTAACAGGTTTGATGTTTGGGCCGCAAGCTGTAGAGGAGTCTAAGCAAAAAATTACTTTAGATACAGAAGCTGGAGTGATATGAAAGTCAGGCAATGGACAAACCTGTTTGTCTGCTATATCAGGTAGAACACGAATAGTAGAATCAAGAGGTGATATTGATGAAAAGTTCTAAGCAAACATTTCATCTTTACCTTAAGGTGAGGTGACAAAATCTAAACCATACAAGAGAGTTGGAATAACAGATTTGCCATTATTATTGATACTGTGAAAGATTCTCCATAAGTCATTTTCCAGAAGTTTGTATTTCATCTCAAAAATTAGTTAGCCTATATATTGATTTTTGAGATGAAATTTTTGAGGTGAAATACAATTTTTTGAGATGAAATACAAGAAATGGTGACCTGAGAATAGCGAGCTTTGGTGTTAAACAAAACCTTTTTACAATGGTTTCTAGTAATATTAAAACACAAATTTTTTTGCTGATAGATATGAAAGTAGTGGTTTGGATTGGAAACTGCAAAACCACAATGAGAGAAAAACCATGGAGAAGTGCAAGGCTTGATTTGGAATCATGGAGAGGGAATAAAAGATTTCATACCAGCCTGAATCCAAGAAGTTATGTATAAAGCACATTATCAACAGGGAGTTAAAAGGTTTCTATGCAAGGGCCTTGTTGAAGAAAATCCCGGAAAGAGTCCCAGTCACAAGGATGGAAAGTCCTATTGACTTTTAGAAACTCCAGGGCTCTAGACACCGGGGTCAAGAAAGAGGGACTCCTTGTACTTAGGACTCACAATTTTTTTTGTTGTTGTTTTTTTTGTCTTAACCACAGTTTTAAGAAATCCCTAATATGCTAGTATAGACTGTAAAATTTAGATTAGTGGGTTTGTTAACTTTTTTACTTTGATTTGCATATATACTTTGATTTGCAGATTTACTTTGATAGTCGCAGACTTGCGTGCAATGTTAAAAAGCTTTTTTATTTAATTTTATTAGTTCAGTTAAATTGTTAAATCATTTAAAATTGTTCTGAAATAACTTGAACATGTTATTTTTGTTAATATTATATATTATATATAGCATCAAATACATATATAAATAAACTATATATAAAAATAAAAATATATATAATATAGCATTCAAACAAAAAACTCATGCGCAAAATAAGCATTTTTTTTTTTTAAAAATCTTTGATTCCAACAAGGCTGCAAGCAACTACTAATTAGTGTTGGAAGTTAACGAAAGAGCAAAGATGAAGATTGTAGAGCAAGAAAACGATTGACAGACGACTTGAAAGATTGCGAATTATATGAATCAGGAAAGCATAATGAAGATAGCGAATTCCAAAGAACTGAAGTTTGAGGAAAAAAACTAGAGGTATAAGAGTTTTTAAGCACTTAGGAACAGTCACAGAAAAAGGATGAGATTCAACTGAATGACGAGTAACACGAGAATGAATTTTAGTAGATGGCACAAGAGAGGCTAGCTCTTTAGAGCAGTGCCCATTATAGTATTTGTAGAAAAGAGAAAGAGAAGCAACATTACGACGATGTGGTAACGGTTGAAGGTTGGCTGCAAGAGCAGGTCCAAATATGTTTGCAACACATTTTTGCACCTTGTCTAAAATAGAAAGGGCATCATTAGAAGATCCGCCCCAGATATGGCAACAGTATTCCATACAAGACCGGATTTGAGATTTATAGATATAGAGAATAGAATCCAGAGTATGAAAGTGTCAAGCTCGATAAAGAGATGCAACTTTAGCAGATGCTAATTTTGAAATGTATTTGATATATAGTTTTTAAGAAAGATCAGAAGTAAGAGTTAATCCTAGAAAATGAAGGGTAGATAACTCATCGAGTACATTACTGTTCATAAATATAGGAAGATCTAAATTATTGCGATAACGATTGGCTGAAAAAAATTGAGTTTTATCTGAATTAAAGTTCACCAGCCACTGTGAGCTCCATGCTGTAACAGAAGTTAGATCCTTTTCAAGCTTAAATGCCCCCTCCAAGCAATCAGAGAGAGAGTTGGTTTCTTATCATGACAAAAATAAATAGTAGTATCATCAGCGAACAATGCCACCTAAGATGTAAGAATATTTGGAAATTTTAAATGTAAATTAAAAAAAGGATAGGGCTGTAGAAGAGTCTAAATCCAAGCAGTAGAAGAGTCTAAAGAGGAAATCACTTTAGATACGGAAGCTGGAGTGATACGAATGTCAAACAATATATCAACCTATTTGATGGCTATATCAGGTAGAACGCAACTAGTGGAATCAAGAGATAATATTGATGAAAAGTTCTAAGCAAATAGTTCAACTTTGAGTGAGGTGTCAAAGTCTGAACCATACAAAAGAGGTGGAATTACAGACTTGCACTGATTATTGATACTATTAAAGATTCTGCAGAAGTCACAAGAGCCTAATTTTTGTGATGAAATACGAGATTTAATGACCTGAGAATAGCGGGCTTATGCAATAGGCAAAACCTTTTTACAATGGTTCCTAGCAGTAATAAACAGATGTCTGTTTTCTGGAGAATTATTTTGCTGACAGATGGAAGTAATAGTTTTGATTGGTAATTGCAGCAACACAATGTGAGGAAAACCATGGAAAAGAGTGAGGCTTGACCTAGAATTGTCAAGAGGGAATAAAGGATTCCATGCCAGCCTGAATTCACAAAGTTACGTAAGAAGCACATTTGTCAACAAGAAGACAAAAGATTTCTACACAAGGACCATCACGAAGAAAATCACAGAAAGAGTCCCAGTCAGCTTTAAGGTAGTTGTAAGATATACAATGATAGGGGGATTCTGATGATAAAGAAGAATGAGATAATAGTTTTAGAGAGATTAAACTGTGATCAGAGGCATTTAAGGGTGAATGTGGAGAAACTGAGCACTGACTAGAATCAGAAACAAGACATAAGTCGAGTAGAGAAGGTAAATGATTCGGGTTGTCTGGAAAGTGAGTTGGAAAGTTGACTGTTTAAGTTAGGGATTGAGAAAGGCAAAAGTTGTGGGCTTTAATGCCTGCAGAGTCACTGACACTAGAGCCAAGCCATTCAGTGTGATGAACATTAAAGTTACTGACAACAACAATATTTGCTGATGGATAAAAAGAGAGGGTTTAGTCAATATGATCAGAAATAACATCAAGAAGAGTGCAGTCTTAAGATGAAGGAGAGCGATTTTGGACAAAGAGAAAGGGGATAGAGTGAAATGATGCTAAAACGAAAGCACATAAAAGAGTAGTCAGTGGATTCAAACCTAGTTTCCCGACAAATAGGTGAATTCTTACGAATGTAAATGGCCAGGCCAAGCATGTGACTATTAGAGTCTTGACGTATTTAAGGAAGATAACCATCAACACTAAGATCACAAGATGAGACAGCTGAA